AGAATAGCTACATCCACTTTTTTCTGGGTTCCTGTCACATGGAGTATTGTTTTCCATCCTTTAATTTTCAGTATATGAATTTCCTTTTGAGTTAAATGTGTTTCTTGTATACAGCATATAGTAGGGTTTTGTTTCCTAACCCACTCTGCTAGTCTGCTTTTTTTGGTTGGTGCATTGAGACAATTTATATTGATGGTTATAACTGATATGTACTGGCTTATCTTTGTCATGCTATTTTCCTGCTGTTGGATCCTCCTTTTTCCCTGTTTAGTTGCTTGCTCTGCTTGGTGGTTCCTTTCTGTTGTTGTTCTTGAAGTTGCAGTCTGCTTTATCTCTGTCTAGAATATACTTTAATACTCTTTGTAGGATTGGCTTGGCACTCATGAATTTCTTCAGTTGTTTTTTATCATAAAAATATTTTATTTCTCCATTAAATTTGAAAGATAATTTTGCAGGGTATATCAATCTGGGTTGGAAGCTGTTTTCTTTCAGTCCCTGAAATACTTCACTCCAAGCTCTTCTTGCCTTGATGGTTTGTGTTGAGAAGTCTGCTGTGATTCTGATAGGCTTACCTTTATAGGTGATCTGTTTCTTTTCTCTAACAGCTTTTAATATTCTGAGCTTTTGTTGAATTTCCAGGATCTTGATCACTCTGTCTGGGTGTAGATTTATTTTGGTTATGATTAACTGGAGTTATGATTAACTGGAGTTCTATATGCTTTACTTATCTGGATGTCTGATACTTTTTCCATGCCTGGGAAATTTTCTGCTATTATTTCTGCAAATAGTCTTTTTACGTCATTTGTGTTGACACCTGCTCTTTCATTAATACCTATAACCCTGACATTGTTTTTCTTTGCCTCGTTTTGCAGTTGTTGAATTGTTATTTCCTGGTTCCTTGCTTTTAAGAGATCCCTCCTTTTACGTTCGTTAGTGGCAACGCTGTATTCAAGGTCTGAAAGTCTATCTTCAGGCAGTTTTGCCAGCTTTCAGTGGAATTTTTAATTTCCTGGATATCTGTTTGCATCTGTTTCATACCTTCTAGTTCTTTTCTATATTGTTCCCTGAAGGTTTCCATGAGTTGTCTATGCTCTTTTATTTTCTTGTTTATGTCATCTTTGGATATGCTGAACATTTCTTTCATTATTGTTGTCATTTCTTTTCGCACCTGAGACATTATTTCTGATCTAATGTCTTCTATGGCCTGATGGAATTGTTTCTTTACTTTCTTTACTTATCATTTCAGAAATTTCAGATGTATGAGTTCCAGGCTCTTCTGTGTTGATGTCTCCTGGACTTGTTTTGGGTGGTGTGGAGGTCTGGGATTGCATTTTGCTCCTTCATTTTGTCATTTTTGAAGATCCAGAGGCTTCCTGGAGTGTAGCCTCACTCTCCTGATTGTGTGTGAGTAGCAGGGAGTGAGTCTGCAGATCCACAGTGCTCAGTGCAGCCCCTGTGCTGGTGAGTGTTGGCGAGATGGGGTTTCAGATGATCCCGACCTTTCTTGCATTCAGTTGGCTCCCAGGTGTGTGTGGGAAGGATGGGGGAAGCTCACCAGAGTTCCTGAGACTGTCTGGGGTTCAGCCCATCTTCCACAAGAGTCAGGAGGGATGCAGGTCATGTTCACCAAAGCTTCAGATATTGCCCAGGACAGAGCCTGCTTCCCACACTGGAAAGGGAGGGTGAGGGTGGACTCCCCAAGGCTGCTGACTCTGTCCAGGTTTCAGCTGAGCTCCTCTGGGGGTGCAAGTTGTTCTGGCAGTGACCACCAAGTCTCCAGTAGTTGTCCAGTGTTCCACATGCCTCACACACTAGTGGGGGAGGCACCAGAGTGGCTCACCAGGGTTCTTAAAGGTGTCTGGTGTTCAGCCCAGCTCCTCCTAGACATACTATGGGCGTGGCCAGTAGCCACTGAGGCCCCAGATGGTGCTTGGAGTTCTGCCTGCCTTGCACACTGGTCAGGGAGGTGCCGCTGTGCCTCATCGGGCTACCTGAAGATATCCGGGTTTCTGCCTGGTCTCAAGCTCTGTGTGGGGGTGGCAGCAGCTCACCTAAGTTCCTGAAGCCATTTGAGGTGCAGCTTAGCTCCAACAGGGGAAGAGGGGAGGAGGGGAGGGTCAGGGAGTGGACCTCAGGCCCCTAAAGCTGTCCGGGTTTCTGCCTGGTCCCAAGATCATGTATGGGGCCAGCAGCAGCTCACCCAAGTTCCCAAAGTCATCTGAGGTGCAGCTCAGCTCCAACAGGGACCTTTTCCTCTTTTCTCTAAGAAGGGTGTGATTCAGATATCATGCGAACACCTATGAGATGCCGTTTCTGCTGAAATCCACAGCCATATCATAGAATGGAGCTAAACTGATGTTTCTCACTATGGACCTGGACCCTGTCTCTCTCCAAACTCAAATGGCCCTGTGTCTACTATATAGTACTCTGATTCTTACATAGGGAATGAAAGGAGAAAACTCCCCACAGGTTATCTGTCCTCTTCTTCCATAAACTGGGAGCCATAGCGGCAGGGCTCAGAGAACACATGAGGACAGTGGTGGCAGCTGGACTCTGAGCACAGCCTGACATCAAATCCTCTGAGCTTCAGCACCTCAGAGAAACTCATGAGAGGATGCAAAAAAATCCCTTATGAAGAGTGTTGGGAGCCACTGGAGCTGGAAATTGCTTATATGTGTGACAGCATGATAGAGCCAGAGTGCCTCAAGTAGTCAAGCTATCTCAGTAAGGAAAAAAGCATCCTACCTGGACAATTACACTCATTAGTCACTAGGCAACATTACCACTCCTGATGCTAACTTTCCAAGAGTATAAAATAAATGCCTCTAATGTTGAAGTCGGTCCTCTTGCCCATTAGGTAAGAGGTAACTCCACTTAACCCAGCTCTTGGCTCTTGTCCTTACTTTCCTTGTACCCACTGCTATTTCTTTCCAGGGTAAAACAAGAGACCAACGAGGTTCCCTACAGAAGACAGAGGATCCATGCTGTGGACAGACAGGGATGGCAAATGTACTTTTGAGGTTCCTTAACCCCACACCCAGAAGTTCTTTAATGAGCTCATGTACAGAAACATTCCAAAGCCCCCAGGATTGTGGCAGAACAAACAGGAGCATTAGCGTTTGCAGAGAGTTTATTGAAATGAACATGTATGTAAGGTTTCAACAATTGTCTTGCAGTTTACAGGTAGAGAAAGGAAAGAAGGAAAGTTCAGGTTTATAGCATGGGTGTTCCACTTCTGATCATGCTCTGTAGTCCTCAGAGACAAAGTTCTTGTGCGAAGTTAGTAAAATGCACAGTATGGGCTGGTATATATTGTGTCCTGGAAAACAAAAAGAGGGACATCATGTAGCCCTCCATCTCTGACCTGCAGAGTCAAAACTTGATAATGAAATACTTTTCCTCCTGTGATTTTCCTGTGTTTTGATGACTTCCAAGGAAGTCCTGAAAACAGTACAGGCTATGTCCTCATGTGTCCTATCACTCAGGTGATATTTATTGATGCCAAAGAAGTCCTTCTGCCAAAAGGCACCCTCTCAATATGTTTTCAAAACTTCATGGTCTTCCAAAGAATTTACAATGAAACATGCCTCAGGTGTTACTTGTGAAAGCATTGCCATGGTAAACTACTGTGATATCAACCTTTCAATTGAGCACTGATAATAAAAGGTGTCTGGCCGGCAGCGCAGAGAGTAATAAAACAATAAAATGCTTTTATTATAGGGCATGGAGAAGACTACAGAGGGGAGGGGTGGAAAGGCGGGCAAGTCTTCTGGGGGTTGGGTAGAGGGGACAATGGTTATATATGGTCAGGCTAGAGGCGGGGTTTAGGGAGTGAGTAGCTGACGTGGCAGGCTAGCATTGAGTGGAAGCGTGGGAAAATGAAACAGCATATTACATAAAGGGGAGTAAGAAACCCTAATTTGACTCCAGGAAGAAGGGTGGGGCTTAGCACATGGCCTCTAGAGGCCAGTGCCATATTGGCCATGACATATAGCCTCCAGTAGGTGGTGCCACAGTGACTCTAAAGGAATTACACTAGGGGAAAAACCCTATCAGATAAAGTCTCTCCTCAAAAGATGGATGTGACCTCTTCAGTTCCCCTGTTGCCTTAAATGTTAGAAAGAGGGAAGACGAACCGAAGTCACCATGACTTCTGTGGTCTGCAAAACACTGATGCTCCACTCTGTGGATGATGAGTCTAGCCTAGCTTTGGAATAAGGACAATCACATCATCCTGTGGTGCAAATGGTGTTCTGCGTCCTGAGTGCTAGGACCTACAGGCGAGCACCACCATGCCCAGCTGAGGGCTTCTAAAAATCACATCCTTACCCTTCGTAGAAAATTGTGTGTGTGTGTGTGGGCGTGTGTGTGTGCACGCGTGCACGCAAGAGAGTTTGTGTGTGAGAGTGGGGTGTGTGTGAGTGTGTTGAGTATGTGTGTGTGTGTGTGTGTGTAAATATCTAGAGGAACTGAGAGTAGCTAAGTCATCTCTGGATTATTCTTTTCTCTCTTTTGCCTTTTCCAGTTATACTTTACTGAAGATTCTCCAAGTAAGATAGAAATCAGCCTTGGAAGGAAGGTTTGATGCAGGAAAAGTCATCACACCTTGTGTGAATCGTGGTTTACAAATGGAATGTGCCTCAGTGGCTTTCTCACCATCACTGAGAGACTCAGAGACTGCTCACTCCAGGTCTGGATTTTAAGAAGCAAGAAAGAGATAACTAAAATTACCATCAGCAGTTGAACATTGGCCAGCGTCTCCTTCGACTGGATGAGAAAACATTGTTTGAGTTCCCCCGCAGCCTCTGCAGTGGTCTGGCCTCTTAGGAAAGGTTGAAGAAACTCTTTGTATTCAGCCACAGTCACATTAGGGTTGATGGTCTTGGCGACAGCATCTTCGAGAAGCTGGCAGCCAGAACCTGGGAAGAAACACAAGACTGTGCCCCACGGCCTCCACCGAAGCCATCCTGTGGGAAGTTCAGGCACCCTGGAGCTCCTGGGTGTGAAATGCTGCCACTCACTCTGTGAGCTCTAACTACTTGGCACCCATAGCAGTGAGAAACAGAACTGCCTGTCCTGAGGGGAGACAATGGGTGGCAGCCTGTGCAGAGAAAGGGCTGCTTTGCTCACAGCAGCTGCTGACACTCGGCTCTGCAATTTTCTCTTAGGTTGTCCAGTCCATCGCCTTTTTACCAATCTGAAGAAACTTCACGAAGTGGAGGCTGAGGCAGTGTGAACAAGCTTTTGAAATGTGCGGAGCACCTTACGTCTGTGCCAACCATGTTTTGCCTGCCAGGGCTTTTCCCTTCTGCATGACTACAGGGCCTCCCAGGAACTACACCCCTACCCAGGCAGCACTGAACTCCAAGGGACTTACAGCCTAAGGGCCACCGGGAAGGTCTCAGATCAACCCTGTCTGTCTGTTCTGTGGCCCCCAACATGTTTCCTGCTGGGTCATTTTCTGCCACCTGAGCCTTCTGTCTGGAAGGTTTTCCATTTCCTTCCACATATATGGAGACTCACGAGCACTTCAAAGCAAACCCCTTGGTGTCCAATGTGGAGGTGATCATTCATTTTTCCCTTTGTCCCATTGAAATATCTGATTCCAATATCAAATCCCAAGACCTTTCCTGGTTTCATGGTAACTGTGATCATGCTGGGACCAGTGTTATGCTACATGCCTCTCCAGTGAAGGCACAAACCTGGTGGAGCTGCCTCTTGATTGCCTATAACTAATGCTGCCCTGTGCTGAAGCTCAGGGATCACAACTTCTTCCCCAAGGACCACGGGCACCACCTCTGGGCAGAGGCTGCATTCTCCGCATGGAACTCACCTGCATAGCAGCAAAACGGGAGGGCAGCCAGCGCGAGGAGCAACACCAGCTTCATGTCAGGGCTGCTGTGGGCTGTTCTGCCTTGTGTGACACAGGTGAGGGAACTCACTTGCAGGTGCTCATTCTGAGCTCTGCTATTTATTCCCCAGGGAGCTGCCTTGGTCCCTCCCAGGAGTGAGGAGATGAGTTGCAGGATCCACCTGGCAGGTGCCAAGGGGAAGCAGCAGCCTCTGGACTGTTTGCACAAAGTAGCAGGCAGGGAACCTGGACTCAAGACAATTTGGAGGTTACAGTGATGGCACTGCTGTAGGAAAGATGGATGAGAAAGGGATTTTTAATTATACGCAAAACACCCCGCATGAGCTTTGCCACCATCTGTTAGATTATTGTGGCCTTCTTCTATTCTCCCTCCCTCTTCCTCCTCCATCACCTCATTATCGCACCCTCAGCCCCATCTGCTTCCCCTGCTCCTTCTTCTGCAAAGTGACAGCAGCTTCCTAACCTCTGGCCCTCCCTTAATCAAACATCCATAGTAAGTGTGGAGTTCCTACTTGACTTTTACTTGGATAAAGTTGCTCACTGGAATACAACGCAATGGTGTAGCTGTTACTGGACGGAAGCCCCTCTTGCAGCTTCTCCATGTCTTTGCAATAGCAACCTTCTAGGCAGGGAAGCATGAAATATAGTGTGCCAGGTAGGGCACTTTTCAGAGCAAAGGCAGCACTGATCAGATGTGATGCCAGGAGCAACCATAAACCTGGACTGTCCTGAGCACCTGAGAAGTCACCATCTGCCTCCTAAGATGGACCTCATTTCACAGCCAGCATGGGAGGGAGCACCCGAGGAGAGGTAATGAACCCTCCTCTGCAGAGCTAGCAGATGGCAGAACCACGATATGAGGCCAGGAGTTCTGGCTGCAGAGATCGCCTTCAACACTATTAAGTTCCTCAGCCTGACCCTCAGCGCTGTCCAGACTGCGGCTCCGTGGACCCCTGCGGCTCGAGGGCACCGCTGACAAATGTCTCCTCCAGGCTGCTTTCTGTGCAGGGCCCGCAGTGTTTGCTCAAGGCCTGTGCTCTCTGTGGACTCCCCTCTGCCTGCTTCTGTCACTCCAGGTTGAGAGGCCTCATTAATTTTGTGTGCCACGCTGAAGCCAGCACACTATTGGGTCCCTTTTGTGTCCCCAGATAGCCAGGGATCCCCTCCCTCACAGACCACTCTGTGAGCAACTCTGCGCTCCTGGATCCTGATTTCTCTTCTAGATCTCCCTGCTCTTGATCCTCGAGAACACAGCCCATGGGCCTCCTGTCTCAGTGTCATCGTCACAGGGAAACTGCACACTAACGAGTTGCATGACTGATTGTGGGAACAGGATATCAGTTCTTTTTAAAATGCACTCACTGATCATCACATACTTTATTTCTATGCCTGTTTAGGGACAGTGGCTCCTGAGAATATCAATCTTTAGTAAAGCAAGCATCATTCCCAGCACTAACAGCAAAGGGCAGCCTGAATCTCTGGGTCCTGACCCACCCGTGTGCTTTGCTGACTGAGCATTTGTAGGTCAGGGAGGGAGCGGGCAGCAGAGGAGCGCTGGTGGTCGAGATCACCTCATTCATTCATGTGACCTACCCCAGATCCATCTGGAGTGCTGGAACCAGCAGCCAGATATGGAAGCAGAGCCACAATGCAGTGTCACCTGCTGACTGGTTCTCCCTGGCTTCTTCCCTCTCCTCCCACACTTTACACAGTTCCACATCACCTGATATGTGTGGCTGAACAATTCATTCTGTGCCGATGTGACAGGTGATTGGGCTCCTTGGTTTTCTGCACCAACATCTGCAGTGGATTAGAGATGGATGCCCTCTACAGTGCCCACAGGTTCCTGCTCCTGTCCTCACCACACGTGTGACCCACATGTGGTAGGGGCATCGCAAGAGGGATGGGGAAATTGCCATAAGAATTTTCTCTACCAAAAGAGGCGTTCTCACATGAGGGTAGTTTTATATCCCCTATCTATCCGTGAAAGCAGTGACTTTGGACCCAACAATTTTTAAGGTTCATAATGACAGGGGTCTTCAGTGAAAATGGATCTGTTGGTCATTTAATGTTATAAAATAGCTGTGCCTGCATGAGCTTGTGCTTGTATGTTCCCACTCTATTGTCAGTGTGCTCTATTTTTATTCCTCTTCCCATTTCCCCCCTACTCTTCTACCCTCTTTCTTCCTCCTACAGTGAACTGCAAAGGGCAACTTATCCTGTCTGTTTGTCCTGGTATAATCAAGGAGGTAGGCTTGACGCATTATCTCAACCATCTCCAGGAAACAGACATTCCTCACCCATAAACACCTTTGTATTGGAAAGTGTGGTGGAGAACTACCTACTATTTCAGCCTTACTGAATGTAAGTGCCTGGGCTTCACAACATCCATTAGAAGTAATTGATATTTGAACCTGAGGCAACAGCTTGAGGCAGGAAGGTTGCTTGTGCCCAGGATTTGGTAGCCACCTGGAGCAACAGACAAGCCTCGTCTCAAAAGAGTACTAATAATTTGAACAACTCTCCCTGTTATATTGGTTTCATTGCAGTTGTTTTTATAAAACATATTGCATTTCAGTTTGAAACATGGATTTGAAAAATAAAGGAGATAATATTGTGATATTTTACTTCTGAGGTTTGTATTAATGTAGAACATATTGAGCTGTTCTTGTCCAAATAATTTTTAGTCCATAGAATACTCAGTGCCAACCAATACAAAAGTGGTAAGAAGTTTGTACATTAATTTTCAAAAGTCAGTTGTGGGGGCTGGGGATTTAGCTCAGCAGCACAGCGCCTGCCCGGCAAGCACAAGGTTGTGGGTTCGATTCCCGGTACCAGAAAAAAAAAGTCAGTTGCATAAGTTTGACAATAAAATGGGACACTGGAATAATTCCAGAATCCTAGTAAACAGTAGTTGTCAAGATCAAGGAAGGCAAGGAACATGCACTCACAAGACCAAGCGGAGGAAAAGGCAAAGTCTTGTGATAGAAATGCCAGGCAGTTTAATTAGGGACAGGGTGAAGTAGGAACAAGACAATCAAAAATTGCATCAGGTATTCTTAAAAAAACAAGTGAGAGCGCCAGAGGGACAGCTCGTTCTTAATGACGCAGGAATGCATTATTTGTTCATTCAGTTACTTGTGGAAGCTTCCCTTCCATCACTCTGAGTGAGTACAAGAGGCCAAAACCTAACTGACTTGGTCTTCTTTCCCAGGACTTGATGGGGCCTGGCCTGGTGCTCCTGTCCTTATTGACCTTCCCTGGCACCAGCTGGGCCAGAGGGTAACTCACATGTCTCTCATTCATCTGTGACACGCTGCATTTCTTTCACACGGGGACACAGTGAAGAGGTTTTGTGGTCTCTATCTGATGGTGATTATACTAGTGAGCTTGGTCATCTCTGAGACACAAAACCCAACACTCCCATTGAATTCACTTCTTGCTTAGAAGAAAAAAGTGCAGCTTGCTGCCCATGCTTATTTAATTTTACAAAAAGGCATTCTCTGCAGCAAGTCTGACTGGTTTTCACTGTGAAAATAAAGTATGAAAATGGTTCTTGAAATATAGATATGGCACAGTGCTGTGACCGTAATAATAAAAGCAAGATATTTTATGGCAAATTTGGTGGTAAGCTTAGGACTCTAATCTGTTAATTATTTGGGGGTAAATTTTGCAGCCAGATGTGATGCCTGTGAGTATTTGGGGGGAAAACAGATGGAAGGAAAAGCTATGTCTGGCTGTGGTTCAGGAGAATGAATCCAGATGTGGCTGTCTCCATGACAAAAACATCAGGACCAAAGGATGGGGCCAAGGACAGATGCTCAGTTCATGACAACCTGGAAGCAGAGCAGGAGAACCAGGCCAGCGAGGAAGGGGCCATGTGCCACACACTATGCCCAAGTTCACACCACCGTGGCCCGGACAGACACATCCCTGAGTGTGCATCCCTAATGGCCACACGGCCCAGCTACCAGATCATCAAACTGACAAAGTTGGGGTTCCCAACACAGGGATCACTCTAGGGGTGATCAGGTCATGGTAGCTCTGTCCAGGGAAGACTCCCTGGCAGTCAGTGTTTACACAGAGATAAAGGGACACAAAAAGTTCACAGTACTATTATTTCTGGGCTGACTTTTACTCTTCCAAATGCAACTGTGCCTCATGAGGATTTCCAAATGCACTGCAGAAACTGGAGGTATCTGGCATCCCTCAGTGGCCACATTTCTGAAAGAAATATGTGCTGATCAACTGCTATGGGAAACACCCAAGAATGATAAATCAGTCATAGATTCTATCCAGAGAGAGCTGATGCCTTTGTAGAGAATTAAAAATGTCACATAAGAAGGTGATAATTACCTGCTCTTAAGGCTTCTGGAAGACTTTAGTTGTTTGTGGACATGAGAAAATTTTGGTCTTGAAAAGTGTTGACCTACTAATAGAAGCATGTAACTTTTTGTGCACCTTCTTTCCCAGGAGTTTGTGTGCTTGCACAAAAAGCATATAAAAGTAGTTTTTAGGAAGTCACATTAACATTAATTTTTTAAAAAACTTGTACACATCTAAAATGTATCTGCTCCACAAAATTTGGTAGAAGACATTGCACATGCCTTCAATTCTCCTGTACTGCATGCTTGGCCCCACTGGCACCACCAAGACCAGTCAAAAATCAGACTCAGGCATGTTCTTGGAGCTGAACTTCTTCCACTGTCAGAACCCTGTAAGACTGGAAATGGGTGTGGAGCTCCTCATGTAAGACAGAAGCCTCCTCTATTGAATAGGAGAGGTGACAGTGAGCATTCTTGTCTTCGTCCTGATTTTAGTGTGAATGTTTTCAGTTTTTGCCCATTTAGTATGATGTTGGCCATTGGTTTGTGATCAGTGGCTTCTTTCAGATTGAGGTAAAGACCATCTATTCCCAATGAAAATGCACAGGTGTCATAATACTTATGAATTACAAGTATTGTGTAGTAAGAGGATATAAAAAACCCTAAATAATCCAATTACAGGCAATGAAAC